GCGCCCCTGCAGCAAGGCAATGGCACCCAAATATCATCGAAAATCATCGTTAAAATAATAGGGACCCCGTTCTGGCAAGGGGGCAATCCAAAGCAAGGGCACGCCATCTGAAAACAAGGCGCCAGGTCACTTTGGCGAGCTGGGCAGCAGCCTCGGCGCTGAAAAGGTCAGCTACGGCCTAGCTGAGAGGCATCGCAGAATTTGGGTACTTCGCCTTTCGCATCCCTTCCCCCCCCCCCCACCAAAAAAAAGGAATCATCATGATTCCCCTGCTCTCGAGGAAAAAGGGGTTTGTTGTGATCAATCAGTCACAAAATCCGAGGCTCCTGGGCTGCTTCGGATGCAACTTGCGAGAAGTTGAAGTGGACGGCATGCCCCGCATCCTTCCGCCAGTGCTCACCACATCCGGCATCGGCTCAAATTGTCGTGTCCGTGGCTGACCCTCCAGAAGCGAATTTGCCGCCTGTCTTGCTTCACATGTTGAACGGAAGAGCTGCTGGCTACGAACATTAGGCAGGTGGGCATTCATCCCGGTGTGTCCTTGGCAACTTCTAGGGCTGCGCCCGTAGCTTCGGTCAGCGCCTTCCCCAAATCCCCGCTTTTGGTCCTCAGGTGCATGGTGCGCAGCGATGGGGCTGCACTTCGTGTCATGAAAACAGCACATTGCAAGGATACGTGCTTAAAGGGGCATTGCACTGAGGAAGTGGAAAATAATCATGGCTACAAGTCATAACCCACTTGCCATGGTTATAAGTCTCCTCAGCAGGTTATAATCAGGATCACTACATACTAAGTACCCTGCCCCTTTTACCCCAGCGAAGAGCGAACGTCTGCCGAGCGTCTTTCCCGAGCCGCTCCGCTGCACTTCCAAGGCCACCTCAGATGACACGAGAGAAACTCCAGCGGGCCAGCCGCACCACTGAGCCAGGCCTGCACTAAGGATACATCTCGCATGGCCTGAGCTGAGGAATGTTCTTCTGCGCATTGCGCATAACTGAAGGACTGAAGGCATCCGCCTCTGTGCTGGGAAGGTATGGCGGTAAAGGTTCAGCAAGCGGCGCGTTAAAATCAAAGTCCTTCACGGGAGTGGGCAGCAGCATCTTGTAATCATTGCTGCGCATTTCTCCTCGTCGACGCCGTTGATATGGTCCTTCTTGACCGCCTCGAGGTGCTAACGGGTGAGGCTCAAAACGGTCGTGGCACGCGAAGTGCGACGTGCTCGGGGCCAGGCCACGCAGCCAATCACAGAAGTAAGGACGAAGGCATGGCACGCCTTACACCCGGATTGCAGCCAAAGATTCACCCAGGTCCTGCAACATGATACCTATCAGCCAAAACCACCCCAAAGCATATCCAAGCATGAATGTTCCATTTGGCGCCGCGAGACTTGACAAGTGGCCAAAGACTGCCACACTGCAGTAAGGGAATGGGGAAAAAGCAACCAATCCCCGAATCATGTTGGGCAACCGCGAGCCATGCGTATCACTGGAATCGGAGAGGGGCAAACCTTTCCGAGGCTCCAAGCCATGGAACTCGAGGACTTGGCGAGTTAGCCAAGGCCTGCGAGTGGTATCATTTGGCTGTCAAAAATAAGTACCCAACATGAAACCCAGGTATATGGAATGGACGAAACCTGCGGGTCCCTGGCGCTTCAATTTTGAACCACACCCATTTCTAGGTTCAAAATTGCTGAGTCACTCCACCCCTCATGGCCCAAGTGCAATGCAGCCTCGAGGATTGACCGTAGCGTCAGCTCAGAGATCGCCGTCGCAAAAGCCAGCCAAACTGAAACCTCAACAACAGGCAAGCCATGGCAAAGCATCCAGACGCAGCGTTTGCCTCTCTTTGCAACGTAACATTCTCGCCGCACCGCTTGCCATTTGGCATCTGCAATTGAATGAAGGCGCCCGTACCAGAAGAAAGAAACCGCGGCAGAGTCTTAGCCCGAACTCCCTAAGTACGCCTTTTCAATACCTTGATGTTCCAAGTTCCTCCTATGGTCCTTCGTCAAAATCTGGATGCTGCCAGGGCGCATGCCCCCAGTGAGAGTTGTCACCGGGCACTCAAGCCAAATGATGCGGCATCGCACGCATCGTCAGGGGCATTTCAGGCGCTGGCTTGCAACAGGCCTAGATTGAAGTGCTCGGCAGTCTAGCCAAACGGAGCTACATTTCTTCTAGCTTGTCCTTCAAACCTTCAAGCCTCCTTTTAACTGCGGTTTCGCGCGACATCATTTTCCAGCTGTCAAAACGTGACCATCGCAGCTGCTTCCGATGCAGGGCCAACGTAATCATTCGGAGGCGCCTGCCCTTCTGCTTCAGCTTGGCCTTAGCATTGACCAGACCATCTGCAACAGGGTCTCGAATTGGGTAATTGGAGGGCGTAAAAAAGGAAAAGCGTGGTACAAACCATTTGTGGGGCGGTAGGCTCCTTTGTTAGGCAAGCATCGAGGGGACAGTGTCTGAGAAGACCCTCACATGAAAGAAAAATGCAAATGATGCACGCAGCTTGCTCCCGGCAATGTTTCCATTGCGGTTCTTTGGATACCTCCCTCTACGATTTCTACAAGCAGAAGCATTGCGCGTCAAACGCTGCCTCTTTCGGCCTAAGCTATCATAAGCTAGATCGCCCGTAAGCTTGCACCTCTTGCAGCAGCCACTAATGGCCGCGGGCTGTGGTGACTCCCTTGCTATATGCTCATGGAGGTCACAGATTTGAGATCCTCCATTCAAGAGTCGGTCTCAGCCAATTCAGCGCTTCCGCTCAGCCCACGCCTTGCATGCCATTCCCAACGCAGTGCGCAGCACTCCGAAAATACAAAGAAAGCAAACGCCCAGGACTCCCAAGATTCGGGGGCCTGAGTGGGCATGCCGAGCAGCAAAGTTCAAGGCTGGGGAAGTCCGGCGGACAAGCGTGCAAGCAGAAGCGGGTGCAACTGCGCGCCATCACAGACGTCCTGGCACGGATCGACTTGCGGAGCCCGACCCCACACAAATCGACTGACCGATCAACTTGGCGGGGGGGGGGGGGAGGGTCTCAAACTGATGAAGCTCCCATTGATTGGTGCCTAAGATCTCAAGTCATGTTTGTTTTTTTCCTGGTGGGGGGGGGGTGCTTATTTAAGAAACCCCATTCCACATTAGAGGTATTGGCCAAACCTGAACACTTGTGGCACGCAGTAGTTCGCTCGGATGCGTGGGCATCCATGGGAAATTTCCAGAGAAGCCATGGTCAAACCCTCGTAATCTGCATGGCCCTTTTTACTACGCACTCCTGATTTCTGTTGCCAAAGTGTTCAGCTCCGCGTGTCAAGGGCTGACCATCCCGCCCATTCCCAAAGCTTCGCTTTCCTGGGAGAGCTCACAGCTGGTCTGGTCCCCCTCCGTAAAGTCCATGCAGGGCTTGAAGACACCCTCCTGGCACATCTGATAGCCGGTGCCTTGGCATGCCCCACGCGTTCACCAAACCGATTGGAGCCATGTATCTGCACCTGCCAAGCCGTGAACCCCAGTCCGCACCTCAAGCAACAGGAAAAACCTAAGGCCGCGGCAAGGCGATTGATACTTGCACGGGTCGGCGAGTGTGGGATCGCACACCAAGGCTGGTCCTTGACAGGGTGGAACCACCCGATCTGTAGTTGTAGTCGGTGGGGGCGTGTGTGTTGTGGTGGTTGTTGTGGTGCTGGTTGTTGTGGTGGTGGATGTTGCAGTTACTGTGGTCGTGGTAACAGTCGTGGTTGTAGTTGTAGTGGTGGTGGTTGTGGTGGTGGAGGTTAGGGTGGTCTTGGAGGTGCTTTCTGTGGTTGTCGGCAGAGTTGTGGATGTTGTGCCACTAGTCGAAGTGGTGAAAGGCACTTTAGCGGAAGACGCGGTAGAAGATGCTGTTGTGCTGCTGGCCTGGGTGGTTGAACTGGATGTTGTGGAGGCTGCTGTGGTCGACGCAGAGGTGGATGCGGCCTTGGTGGATGCAGAAGTGGTTGATGCAGTCGTCGCTGCAGAAGTTGACGTGGAGGGCACGGGCTTTTTGACTGCCTGTGTGGTCGAATGTTGAGAGTCTTTGCCCGGCTTCGGCTTCTTTGCCGCCGGCTTCGGCTTCTTTGCTGCCGGCTTCGTTGTGGTTTTGTGCTGCTTCTTGGTGGTGCTGGGGGCTTTGGTGGTTGTAGACCGTTCCTTCTTAGAAGCTTTGGTGGTCGAAGTTCTTCTTGTAGTTTTCTTTGCTGCGGTGGTCGTCGTTTTCTTCCGGGTTGTGGTCTTGGCAGGCGTCGTGGACACTGAAGTTGTTGAGGTATCTTCTGACCCAGTTGTAGACTCATCCTCTTCACTCTCTGCCTCCGTGGTGCTTTCTGCCTCGGACTCTCCGCTAGTGCTTTCTCCCTCAGACTCTTCCGCGCCTTCACTAGATCCTTCTGTGGTGCTTTCACCCTCAGATTCCTGTGTGGTGGCTTCATCAGATGCTTCTGTGGTGGTGCTTTGGGACTCAGATTCCTCGTTGGAGTCCGTCTGAGACTCTGTGCTAGATCCACTCTCTGCCGAGGTTGAGCTTTCATCTTCGGACTCTGTGGTGGACTCATCAGCCTCAGTGGTAGATGCTCCACTAGTACTATCCTCCTCCGGCTCAGCGGTTGTGGTCTCCTCCTCGGATGTGGTTTCCTCATCCTCTGTGGTGGTGACATCCTCGTCTGTGGTGGTCTCTGTGGTGGACTCTGCCTGGGAGGGTTGGGCCAACCTTCGCTTGAAAAAGATGGTTGAAGCTCCCTACATGCTCCAACCGCCTTTAGCTAAAGCAAGCTCATATCCTTCCCTTTTGAAGCTTTCCAGGCTTGCTCCGAAGACCCTATAGAACATGTGCCCAGGGAGTCAAACCATCTTCCCTTGGCGGTTCATCTTTAAACGGCTCGGGGAACTTGCATCCTTTTCCCACTATCCCCTGCAGGTTGACAAGGACCCAACACGTCTTGTTTTGGAAATCTATCTTTAGGGCACCGGCCTTTTGGCGTTAGCGATGCAGGGTATTGGGTGACGCCATTCGGGTATGGGTCAAAATTAAGCCACCAGGGGAGCGCAGGTTTGAGTCCTTGGTTCCATTTACTGGGGTCTCAATTTGGGTGCCTATTTTTGACCCACAGCCATTCGTACTGCCGCCTCATACCTGCCCAGCGCCGGCGAGTTGGCCGGGGCTGACTTCGTCTTTCCGCCCTGGCGCTCTGATCTGGGCGGCGCTGCCCCGAGGGCCGCTACCTGCACGGGCCAACTCACCTAAAACCATTGGGTTGCTGTAACAACTGGCCATGGGTCAAAATCCAAATCGTAACCCCAGTAAACATCCCCATCCCCACTAAAATAGAGTAAAATGGGTGGTGCACCTACCCCAAAATGGTACCATTGGTTTTGACCCACAGCCAACTAGGCCCCGTGCATCCCGAAAGTGCTTATCAAAAACACAACGCCCAAACATGTCCTGTTCCGCTTATAGCCCAGAGCTGTGGGAACGTACTTCGTACTACTGTCATATATGCCGAAGCCAAGCTTCTCGCGCAAGAGCAGCAGAAACGTGCTTCCTGTATAATACATACATACGTGCAAACCGGTATTTTCGCATCAGCGCCGTGAATCGTACTCTGCGTACTACTTGAAATGCTCAAGTACATATTGTTCGCAAACATGCTGCGTTCACTTGCAAACAAAGACTTTTGTACAGATGCTGCAGGAAAGTACTTCGCGTACTATTTCGTACTCAAAGCCTACCATTTTCGCGCATCATGCGGTAGCTGCGAAAAGCGTGAGTCACTTGTCGCCCAGTCTGCACAGCGCAAAAACGAGAACCATTCTGTTAAGATGCGCTGTGAAGAAAGGCTGTGTTGAAAAGTGCTGTGCAGCAACGCTATGCTCAAATGTGCTGTGAAGCGGGGCTACGCGGGCTGTGTCGAGATGTGTTGTGCACCAGCGCCGCGTTGAGACGTAACACGAAGCAAAGCTATGCCGAAACGCGGCGTGCAGTAGCGCGCTGTTGTGAAGCGGGGCTACGCGGGCCATGCTGTGCGCCAAAGCAATGCTGAGATGTGTTGTGAATTAAGGCTATGCCGAGAGGTGCTGCGCATCAAGACTATGTTGTATAAGATGTGCAGCGAAGCACGGCTGTGTCGAGATGTACGTGCGCCAAGGACGCGTTGAGATGTAACGTGAAGCAAGGCTATGGTAAGATGCGCTGTGCAGCAAGGCTGTGTTGAGATGCGTTGGGAGGCAAGGCGATGCTGAGATACACGGTGCTGTGGGGCATGGCTACGTGGGCTATGATGGGAAGTGATGTGCGCCAAAGCTATGTTGAGACGTGTTGTGAAGCAAGGCTATGTTGAGATGCGCTGTGTGCTGAGGTGTTGTTGTGAATCAAGGCTATGTTGAGATGCGCCAGATGTGTTGTGCAGCAAGGCTATGCTGAGATGTGCTGGGCAGCAGAGCTAGCCTTTTTGAGCTAGAACAGAAAACCGTGTAAATGTTCAAGCACCCTTTGTTGAAACATCCATCTGTTGGCTTCTTAGCGAAGGGCTGAGAGCCTAGTTCCTCAAACAAGTTTGGCCCGCCCCACCTGCCGCGCAGATGCGGCAGCCTTTGCCGGCACCGGTGCGCGCCCCAGAGCCGGTGGCTCGCTATCTGTGTCCAGTGCAGAGAAACTGGCCTCCTTTCTCAGCAGGCGGTACTGGAACCGCTTCGGAAGCTCAAGACCGCCAAAGCCCACCACAAGGCTGGCCTGATTGTTCATGGAATTGCTGGCAGCTACTGGCCATATGAAAATGAGCAGCCAGGTGACCATCAAGGCCACCGTGCTCTAAATATGGAACTGGGCCTTAAACTTAGTACTGTCCTTGTATTTGAGCAAAAGACTCGCAATCAGGCATGAGCTGTGACGTGGGCTGCAAACTCCATGTTGCTAGGTCTGCTTGGCATGACCCTCTGAGCTGTGGACTCACGCTGCGGAGGCGCTCGCATGGACCACTGCCCCAATGTCCTTGGCGTCCCATGTGCCGAGGCTCGTGCCTCTGCGCCCATGGGTTCCACGTCAACATCTCACTAGTGGCAGAAAACACCTCCACATGCTGAAAAGACAAGATGCCACTTTGCAAAGTCTGGCCACAGCAGCCATCATTGCAAGGGCAAGGGCTCCCGCTGGTGGGGAACGGGTCCGGCTTGCACTGCCCGCCATCTCAAGACCAGCATCCCCAGGCAGCAGCTTGCAACTGGAGCTACGCCCCAGCCACCTTCCTGAAAGGACAGCCAGCAGCCAGTGACTGCAGCCAGGCAAGCCAGCGTCAATATCAGGGTTCTGAAGTCCATCTGGTGGCATGTGCCTGCGCCTATAAGCAGGGCGCCACAAAGGGAATGCAGCCATAGGCAGGAGTCGGTCCACGGCAAATCGCCAAATGTGGGCAACAAAATCACCACACCCAGGAGCTGGGCCATCTGGCCCAGCAAAAGGACAGATTTGCCTGCAGGTATCGCCTGCCACAGCACGAGCAGAAGGCCTGCTACACCCAGTGACATCAAGAGGGAGTGACAAAAGCGCAGGGTCTGATGTCCCCACAACAGCTTTGCGCCGCCGCACAGCTGGCAGCCAAGCTTTTCCAAACAGCACTCGCCTGTTGCGCAAACTTCGGCTACTTCGGCAAGACCATGTGCAAAACAATGGCAGGGATCCTGCGAAGGCGCCAAAGCCTCGCTTACTGCGCACGTCCTTTGCGGCGTGTCCTGGTGGTACACCAGCAACGGCTCTGCTAGAAACGCTTGGCCGCGATACGCAGTCACACAAACAGCGAAGATCGCGCTGCTTGCACCCGTCCCCGGTCTCCATGTCCAGCCCTGCAGGGCGATATGGTTTTTAGAGGGTCCTCACATCCTCGCAAATTTTGACAAGTTTGGGCACGTCTGCCCCCCCCCCCCGGCCTTGGAGGCGTGCTTCTCGGAGTACATGGTGTTCGCAGAGTGCGCGGACAGGGTCTCCAGGAAAGCGCCGTCACGGGATACCATCACGTGCCCTACGCCCCCGGAAACCGCAGAGCTGACGGTGATGTTGTAGCTTATGGCTGGGTCGAAGCCTTGGCCAATGACACTTCCAGATCCCCTGCCTGTCACCTTTCAAACCTAGCTGCCCTGACCAGAACGTGCTATATTCGCCTGCAACCAGAACATGCCGGATTTGTCGAAGCTCTCCAAGATGTACAGCTACAAAGACCAGAGTTATGAGCTTCATTTTTTGTTCACCAATCGCAAGTGCATCTCCTATGCTCCGATGCCCAGCCACTTCCATGAGAGAAAAAAAGAGCGCACAATTACGCGCCAGGGTGCTTGGGGCTTGTCTGGTGAAGGTGTTTAGCGCAGCTTTTGACCATAAAATCCACTTGGAGAAATAAACAAACTACAAACGCTGCTTATCGATACAACTCACCTGAAATTCTGAGTAGGAAAGTGCATGTGCATGAGAATGCGGGCTCGGGCCAAAGCCAGGCAGGCTTCACCGCAGAGATATGCGACAAAACAAGCATTGCTCTTCAAACAAAAAGAGCGCAACTTCCGCTGACCCCACCAGGGCCAAAGCTGGGCAGTTTTATTTGCGATAACAAGTGCTCCATGCTTGTGATGAGTCCCCCTTTGCCGGGAAATTCCAGGCACCCGACTGCATTTGTGCTCGCACTTTTCAAGTTTGCGCGCTCTTGCGAAAGTTGCGTGCAAATAGTAGAAATTTGCCGGTGGTGAAAGCCCCGAAAGTCAGCCAGGCTCAAGGTTTAACTACATGGCAATTGGGCACTGGGGAATTGTCGGAACAAACAACGGTTGCGTGCACGCCCTTCTTGCTGCTAAAGAAATGAACGACTGAAATCTCAGCGGACCTAGCTGGCTGCCACTTAAAGAGTACAAACACAAGTCCATTTCCCTGGTGGTACTTGCCTTGATTGCGACTGCTGGGGAGCAAGCAGCGCATTGGAAAAGAGAAAGGAATGTCCCAAAGCATTGCACTGCGGCCCAGCACAAGAAAAATGCAACTTCGCTCAAAAGCTCCTACTCAAAGCTCAATTTGTCCGCATCCAGCAGCCTGCGTTCTTTCACCCGCAAAGTGCGCAACTCCACGCATGCGCAAATCGTCAATATCACGCGCAAACGCCCCACAAACCACGCAAACATGCATTCACTAGAGTAGGAAAGCACGCGCAAACAAAGATACAGGTCTGGATGCCCAAATGATGCAAGACGGGCAGTTGGGGTTCAGAAAAATGTACTCATAAAATCCGCCACTGGCTCTCATCCGGCACACCAAAATATCGGTCTGCTTCCCTTCGAAACAGTGGTCCACGGTCTTGAGAAACACGGACAAAGCGCCTATCTGTGTCCGGAGAAGTGCCTGATTGGAGGGACAACATTTCTGAGGACATATTTAACCCGAGCACCCTGTGATTGATCCGCACTTGTTGGTAACCAAGTAAATATGTCCCAGGCAAAGATACAAAACAATCCCACCCCCACTACTCTTAATTGACCCAGTACTAAACCAATACTAAACTCCTGACAGCCCTTGCTAGGGGGCCAGGGAACTTTCAGCACTCCCCTTTTTTAATTCTAAATTCAGAGTGTGAACTGTCATTTTGACTTCGCCTTTCCAACTTGAATAAAAGTGTGCATGAGCAACTCTTTGGACGCTTTTGGCACCCATCGAGGGGGAGCCAAAAGGAAGCAGCAGGCAGACGGGTGGACATCATCTAAAATGGGGATCGATGTCCACCAAAACATGTTTGAGGGTTTTGTTCATAAGCCAGCAAAGCTTGACCACTTGCAAACCAGCTGCCAGTTGAAGGTATGCTGCTGGAAAGTGTGCACGGCCCTGTTGACAACTCGAAGTTCTCCTCGCAAACAAGGGTTGAGGCGTCACATGAGCTGCGATGGGCAGTGCAAACTCTAAACGCCTTGTTGCCTCCTTGCAGGCAAGCTGCAATGGCCATGGCGTCAAAAGGCCCGCCAGGCTTCAGCCGCGACATAAACGCGGCCGACTGGTATGCCCAGAATTGCGGATACGCGTGGACAACATCCAGCGCAGCCAAAGCGCAAATCCGCGATCCAAAGACCATGCTGTCTACATCTGCGGCCGGCAATACATGCCCTGTGCAGCTACCTTCCTGCTGCAAATGCATAGGTCGGAGTCCTGGGCATTTTGAAAGCGCAGGTTCTGGGGAGTGTTGTATACAATTCGTCCTTGCTTTGCCCAGGGTCAGATCCTTTCGAGGAGGTTAGGGACTTGGGGATAAGATGGTGAGTGATCATGTTGTGGGCTGTGTCAAGCTGCCGTTGCAGTGGTGGTCAAATCATGGCATTGATATTGTCTGAGCATGGCCGTAAGCAAGCAATGACGGTTGGGGTATGTTTCCTCATGCTTGCCGTGCGCAAGTTGCATCATGTACAACCAAAAGCCTTCAGGTCGATGTCCCTTCTTTGGATTTGTCACGTCAGCATCCACTACTGTACACGATCCTATGTTTTGTCATTGTTCCTTTTGCCCTTGCAGGCTTGATGCCCTGCTGGAACGAATCCGCACTCACTTCTCCTGCAACTTGTCATCCCATTGAGCGGGTACTCGAATTGCAGCTTGGAGGCCCGAGCCACACCGGCATTCTTCGGAAGGACGTGCCCCTCGAATCGAGATCACGTTGCCCTTTGGAAGGTGGCCCGAGTGGCCAATTGCTCGCGACACCGCCGAGCACTGCATGACACAAGGCTGGTCTCTCCCTCGGCTGTTGCTTCTCTCCCCAGACCGTCCTCGTGCGACCTTCATGCAAGATGCCATGCATCTGCAAGGTTCACGCGATAGAAGGGCTTGCTCAGGGACGAGAGGGCCACAAAGACTTCACACATCCGTGCGCTGCCTAGCACTTTGCCAAAAGTGGGCGCCTCGTCCCAAAACTTGCCCACGCTGGCTTGCAGCGCTTGCAGGAGATGTGCTGCTGGAGATGCAGACGTGGCAGCCTCGGCGACAGCGACCATGGTGAGAGCAACGGCCATGGGGGCATCCAAGCCGGCTTCACCCTCCACAGTGCCAACGCAGCCTGACACCGGCAACCAAGTGCTGACACGCAGGGAAACTGAGGAATCTTCTTCTGCAGACTGCGCCTTGGACAAGCGATTCAATAGCTCAAATAAGGGCCAACCGGACTCCACAATACCCGGCCATGACAGCTGCAACACCACCTGCAAAAGTTCATCCATGTTCGCGGATTCGAAGTACAAAGTGCGCGCCTGAGGATTAGCCAGCAAAACCATGAGCAGCTGCAAGCAAACTTCTCCCAGGAGGCAGCTCAAGCTATGCTTCTCCACTTCAGCTGCCTGTGCCAGCAGCGACGCAGCGAGATCTTCGGTTGCCTCCACCTCCTGCTCCGGGGTCATAAGGAATGCCACCAGCTGGGAGCGAAGGCCTTGCCACCAGCGATGGTCGCTGGTGCACGACAAGCTCTCCGTCTTGGGCTGGCGTACATCCAGAAGCGAGTCATAGACAGTTGCGATGGAGCTGCGGGACAGCTTCAGGTTGCGCCCCGCGGCGAAGCCGTCCTTGTTGCCGGCGTCGAAGGGATAGCCGGCCGCAGACAAGAAGTCATGCACTGGCCGCTTGTAGAGCTCATTCTTCACCTCTGTGCCGGCAACACCGGACGGATTTCTAGGCAGGTTTCTGCGTATAGGCCTCAAACAAAAGAAGCTACATAACTGAATGATTGAGACCTGATCAACCCCGGCCCCCACCCAAGGTAGCCTTTCAAAGTTTCAAAGAAGCCTTCTTGTTGATCGGTAGGTGCATTTTTCAAAAACCAGGAGCCGAACACTTAGGCTTAAACCACTGGAGCTGCGTAAAAAAAGTATGTTTTCTATATCTGCCATCCGTTTCAGGATAGAAGGCTACTCATGTCTTTTCTATTTTTTTCGGGGGGGGGGGTCCTTCACTTCTTGCATGGAGCCTGCGGGTCCAGCCACAGGAACTCCTGCACCACCTGGCGGTCCAAGAAGGGATACCTGGCCTCGAGGCCGTGGCTGCCCGCCACCACCTCCTCCTTCATCAGGTAGTCCCGCTGGGTGCCCAGGAACACCGAGCGCCAGGGGAAGAAGGAGGACAGCTCTTCCTCAGCTGAGGCCATGCTCCAAAAAGCCACCAAAAAGGGGGGCTCTTCCTCACTGGGCAACTCCAGGATTGGCAGTGGTCCAACGAAAACGGTGGATTTTTGCTCAGAGGAAAAGTCTCGACTTTTGAAAGGCAGTCTGAAGACTCGTGCATCCAACGCTGGAAATGAGTCACAGTCCAAACCTGCTGCACCTAGTAGTTGTAATCTTCAACTTCCTAGGTGTTGATTCTGGCTCACTTGCTACTTACATCTAATTACGAGGTTACCTGTGCAAGACAGGGAACAATTGACCAACATTGCGAAAGGTTGAAAGGCCTGCTTTGAGCTAAGCGTCAGGGAATTGACCCCCGAAGGAGCTGTGGGGGAAAAACTTCTTCCCTGCAAAGCCGTAGTCTGAAATGATCTCGTCTGCTCCTGCGCCGGATATGTAGACCAAAATGCCCGCCTCTCTGCAAAGTCGAAAGATTGCAGACAGCCCGGCTGCAGCTCCGTCCTCCTGCACGGAGCCCCCAGCCCAATTCGACTTCCCATATCTGAAGAACTCGGATCTGAGCTGCAACCAGGCTTGCTCATCCTGGAAGTCTTTCAAGGACAGGCTGATCATGAATGCGCGTGCTACGGACCTGTTGTGGAGTTCCAGCCTCTGCCGGATGAGGCCAGATAGCTCTTCCCCAACCACGGTGAAGTAATTGGCCGCGTGGGCGGCGGCTTCATATTCCAGAGCAAGGTGTAAAGCGCCAGAGTCATAGCCGCTACTCAGCCCGACAAACACTGGATGGTTGGAGGCCGCAGTTCGCTTCCAGACCGCATGCCGGAAAGCGGCCTGCCAGTCTTCCGTGGATGTCTTGAACTGACGCAGGTCAAACTCGTGCACCGAGTGATGGCCCACTTCAGCTGCTTGAACCACCCCAGCTCCAGGGCCCTGGTCAAGTGAGAAGTCCAGCTTTAGCTGCAGGACCTGCAAGAAAAGGGCGACACATGGGCGACACAAGGCCAAGCCGCACCTGGTTTGAATAACTTGCCATCAGAAACTTCCACCCTTGCTTTCAACATGTAACATGCGCAAACGTCGGCGACCCCCTAAGCCCTTGCTTTTGCCCTTGGTTGCCCTAGGGTCCTGGAAGACGATTTCCCTTTAAACGGGACCTGGTTCCATGTGGTCAGGGTAACACCCGTACCGAGCCGATGGCCAACCAGAGACTGCCTGGTTGGGAGCCGCCACTCGGATTTGCTCTTCCGGGATGCCGAGCTCCAGGAGTGCCTCGTTCCGCTTCGACTCACCCCGTCAAACTCCCCCGCTCCAAGCTCAAGCAGCAGAACCAAAGGAACCCTTCTACCTCCCTAAAAGCTGGCCCAAACCACCCCAGAGCCTTTCTGGGCCGAGGCCAGAAACCATAGCTTTCGGCTGTTGGAGAATGCTCCTCTACAATAAATTGATGTGCTTTCTGGATTCCATCTTCATCTGGGGAGTAAATCTCGAAAATGGCTTGGATGTGTGTTTTTTGCGGATTCCATCTTTTGCTCGCTATGTTGGTACCTGGCCCTTTTGTAGTGCTCTGTTAATGTTCCGTTTTCTAGATTTGACCGACGGTTCCCTGATGTGAGGGAATCAGTTGTTCAGCCCTCAACCAGCAAAAAGCGCGTCAAACAAACAGGTTGGGAGACCCTTGTGGAATGCACAATCAACACCGGATAATCGAGAGCCCCACCTAAATCCCATAGGAATCAAAAGGGCGTCTTGCCGCATTGATGGCTGGGAAGTGTCCACTAAAATCCGTATGAATATTATTCCGCCTGGGCCAATGGGATATCAAAGTTGGCCCGAAAGATTCGATGCGTCCACCATCCACAAACGAAAGCGGAAGGACCTCATGTCTGGGCCCGCTGCTGACTTGTAGGATGATGCATGGAATCCCTGAAAGCAGGAGTACCTCCCAAGCTCTTTGCAGCGAATTCCTGCATTCACCACCATAAACCCACAGGGTTCTCACCACAAAGGCTTCGTGCCGAACACGTCAGTGCTGAGGATTGCAGCCTGGGGCCCACTGGAAATACCGGAGCAGCCCTTTCGGGACCAACTCAATCACTGAACATGTCTCTGGCCTTAGTAGAAAAGTCCACCAGGACCAGTGCCCACTCCTTGGGCCACAAATGACTGCTTTTATGGAGGGCACGCAAAGAAACTCCGAGGGCCTAGCACCATCCAGCACCTTCGGGAAGCGAGCGCCATGATGACGATAGCACGGCAGCAAACACCTCAGCGACTGTGCAGCTTGCGAGCGGTCGCGGCTGTGCAATAAGAAGCTGGCTCCCCATCTGAACGGTACAAATGCCGCCCGCCGAAACCTGCAGGTACCTGACGCGACTGTGGCAAGAGCTGTAACGGCTGGCTCTTCGCACTCGCCTGCCGCGAGTTGTAGATCTCCCCATTGTACACTGCAACAACCTGCAAGCTGCAGCCAGGAATGCTTTACGGGTGCGAGAATCCTTTTTTGGTACCCCACCTCGCCATCCGCAAACGGCTGCCAAACCCGCTCGCCTGTCCTCGGACGTCAATGCCCAGGTTGGAACTTCAAGCGATCGCCCAAGAGCCCGACATGTGCAGCAAGTTGTGCACAAATATGAAGGGCCCCAGCTGCAAAGATTTGGTGCCTTATCATATTCTCTCCGCGCCCCGGCCGGCGACTCACTACATGGCCCTATGTTCCAACGGCTACCAAGCTTCAAAGTACCCACATGCTCTGACTCAGGCTGAGGCCATCAGGGCCCCGTGGCTGCAGGAAGAAGTTCACCGCCTAGGTGGAGGCCTTTTTCTGGTCAGGGGATCCCTCCACTTTTCTGCAACTCATGGAGCACGACTACAGCAAACCCCAAGAATTTCAGGATTGACTTTGCACAACGAGTCTTGTCTGGCTCCGCAGATCCAGCAAACTGCTCAAGGCTCACCCTCAACCAAGTGAAGCGACACAAATAAATGCGTGTTCGGGGCCGTGGGCCTTGGCCCCCCTTTCCATTTCTGACGGGAGCATGGCTTAAGATCCCGGCGGTCAAATTTGAGATCAGCCAGCTGGTCACCAGAAAACTGCACATCGCCCGCTTCGCCAACACGGTGCCGGGAGCCCTGGGCCCCGCTGCCGAATGCGGCGCCTGGCGCCTTCCGTCACGTGGCCATGGTGGAATTGATCCTACTGGCTTCAGATCCTGAGCTTGAGATGGCTGTCCAACATCGGGATGGCCTGGGATGAAAGCCAGCACGAAGCACCACTTGCAGGAGCATCTCTGGCAACGCAGATTCAAAAAGAACTATCAGCCCAGCTTCAATAACCCTTGCATGCCCATACTTCTGTTGGGAAAAGGTATGCATTTATATTAATTAATCTCGCCCAATACAGCCCAAAAAAACAAGCACACGGAAATGCTGTGCACGGACACCTCCCCGGCACCCTGCACCCCGAATAAGTACGACTGCACTCGGGGTCGTCCGAGAATTGGTTGATTCTACTTTAGTATTGGTGGAGGTTCTCTCCCTCTCTCTCCGTCTGCTGGGGGTTGCGGGAGTTGATGCCAAACATCCATAAAGAGAGCGCATTTGAAAAGTTCTGCCAGCCCAGGTACCTCCGTCCAGTCCGCCGGACCGCCACTTTCCGCCACGCCGAATCGCTTTGGCCCCGTGGCCTATGTACAGTGCAGCCCAAAAGCTCAGTCATTGGTAAGCTCCGCCTGTGGCCTGCGCGACTCAAGCTCAGCACACCAACAGGGTCTGGAAAAAGAATGCGAAAAAATGCCATGCCCTGTTGGTTTCATGTGGAAAATGTAAAACAATATCTGGATCTATTTAGCATCCATTGACCCCTGTTTGACAACACTTCTGCCGCCTGCGTTCGATGCATCGAGGCATGTCCCGCTGAGCTGCCATCTCCTCTGCCCGGGCCTCTCATCCGACTTGAGGGGTCCAATTTGTTTGAGTGAGATTCGCGCCATGCTCACGGCTCACGGGCAATCACTTCATGCTCTTTTTCATACGCAGCGGTCATGACAGCTGCAGCCCTTTGGATGCCAAAAACGTCTTCACTGCCGGATAGTTCTGGAGTTCCGCGACAAACATTGATTTTACCCTCGGATCCGCAAGACACTTCTTGGGGTTTTGTAGAACCCGCATGAACTCTGGGTGGTCCTTCAGGAAAGCTTGCAAGCCTTCTGCAGGGTTCGCTGAACCAGAGGCGCTCGCTTTTGTGACCTTCTCACCCTCCTTCTCTTTTGGCGCATCCCGCGGCGCAGACGCCGCAGGCGTCGCCCCAGCACCCGGGGCTGGGGCGCGCTCTGCAACCTGAGCCTCTCGCTTCTCTTGCTGCTGCTTCAGGCGTTTGGCCTTCCTGTCTGACTCAAACTTCTCCAGGAAGTCCTCAGGGTAACCCTGGAAAAGACACAAACTGGAAATCGGGCATGGGCTAGGGCCCCACAAGTGGGATATTCATGACTGCAGGGCGGTGGCACAAGAATGTCAAACACGTTTCTCGGGAGGTGTCTCAAGAGAGTCTTAATATAAATAATGCCCATACTCACGCAGACTTTGCGTCTCATACCCCAGGAGCCCAGGTGCTACCGTCACGGCATGTCACAGCACCAGGTGCGTGAAAGGAGCGGGATACGACGCACAGTGCCACGATGCACAGCAATCAAACCGTGCGCAATGGGTGTTTGTTTTTGAGGGTGAGGTTGGCTACAAGGTGTACCATCGGGAAACCACCCAGTTTGAAGGCTCCCTGTTCTGTGAAGGTTATATGCAGGGAGGATCTTTGCAGAGCCATTAGTTGCACTTCAACTTTGATGCACCTACATGGTGCCCACACATGTACGGCTTGAGGCACCTAATCCATCATGCGCTGGATGTTGAAAAGCAAAGGCTTTCGAAAGAAAAGCATTTGAGGCTTTCGAAACGACGCCCACAGCCCATCCTGTCTCCGCTTCCTCAGCGCGGCGGCATCGAACTCCCAATCCATTTTGGTGTCCTCGCCTGGCGCCTCGGCAGAGTCCAATTCGACCACGTCAGCCCACTCAGAGTTGGCCTCCAGGTCAGCCGCCGCATCCAGCAACGCAACGGCTTCCCCCACTGCGCGCTCGCTCTCCTCCATGGCATCTCGACATCTCTCGTCCTTCGCCTCTGAAATACTCTTGCCGCGAAGGGGCGGCACAAAGATCTTGGTGGGCAAAGAAGAGGGCAGGGGATCTGCGGGTTTCGCTAGGAGCTCCCTGCGCGCATCCTTGATCTCCTGCTCTATCCTGGCCACTTGCTCCGGGATCATCCCATTCGCCAGGCTGGGCACCTTCTGCAGCGCCTGCTCGATCTCTTCCATGAGCCGGCTTGCGGAACCGCCGCTCAGCACCACCTGCAGTGTGCGGAGCGACGCGTCTTTCAAACTTGTTGCTTGCCTCCAAGTTGAATCTGAAAAAGTATAGAGGCCAGAAATTTGCGAGTCGAGACTGAATCACACTGCATGACTAGGTTGCATTTGCTGGAGAGCTCTATTTATGGCTATCCATTCAGCCCGGAAATATAATAGCCGTTGAAGCCCTGGTTCTTGTCGAGGGTAAATCGGAAACCACCCCCAACCTCCAAACCCCTAACCTCCAATCCACCAACCCCAAGGGATTCATCCTCCAAAAGTGGTGAATCCGCACTAAACCTTAGTACCCAAACCCCCCCCCCCCCTATTAAACCGGGTTGATTCATATGGCCATGGTGAACATCCCAATCCCAACTACAATAGACTAAAATGGGTGGTGCACCTATCCCAAAATGGGATCCCATTGGTTTTGACGGCCATATGGGGTCAACCTTCACCTAGGTCTGCCTCGAAGAAGACGGTGGCGCTGGGGCAATGGGCCGCCACCATCCGCTGCAGCGAGGCCATGAGCTCTGCTGCACGCAGCCAGGCGCCCAGTTCCTACCGCTTTTGCCGGTGGGAAAAATACCCCAACTCGACCCACCCGGAGAGTGAGCGCAGTTGAATGATGTGGTTTCCATGAAAATTCGCTGAAACCCCAAGAAATGCAAGAAGCATTATAAGAATCAGGAAAGTGAGGAAAACCCTTCCTGGATATGGGGAGATTGGCCGATGGCCGGCTTCCCTTTGAATTTTACTGGCTGACAAACGCGATTGTTTCCCTTATGGGAACAAACTGCGGATACTTGGGGAAAGGTCGCGTTGAGGTGCGCCCCTTCACCGGCGGTTGGGACAAAATACTCCCTCACAACTCCCTTTGAACAGGGCTCAAAAGTGCCCTTTACCAATTAAATGAGCCCATTTAATAATTATCCCCAGCAACCCTCGGAACCCTTCCGGAACCCCAGCCCGGAGAAGCCCCGAACCACTACAGAGCCTATCTGGGCAGAGACCCCAAGCTTTCAACCGTTGGGGAAACAAGCGAACAGGAAACCGTAAGAATGGAAGTTGAGCATGGGATGTTGTTCTGCGTTTCCCACCAACGCTGGAGGGAACCGGTGGAAACTGAGCAAACACACGAGAATACCCAAGGCAGAAGGGAAACAAGCCAGATGAAAGCAAGACCATCCAATGGACTCAAACCACCTGCAGCCTGTTTCAGGGAAGCCCGGGGGCACGTCAGAACCTGGGCCACCACTCAAATAGGCTGCGAGAGGCTGGGGCAAGGAACCCCGCTAAACACAGGGTAAGGAACCGCCAAAGAATCTGGCATTCTCAGTAATACGGATGTTCACTTCTGCCATGCCAAAAGTCTTTGGTCAGTGCCACATGTTAAGCTCCAGTAGATGCTTCATTACAACTGGAGAAACATCATAGTTGATATGTGTAGGGAGGCCGCAAGTTGTCAAACGGTCAATTCGCGGGAGTCGCCAAACCGCCAATCGACGGACCCCGACCAACTGGGACCCACTCAAAAGGACCTTCCCCAGCGATCCAAAGGGATCTCTGAACAGTCCCTCACAGGCTATCCCCAAAAACAGAATTCTCTCCAAGTCCGAAAACCATATGCCGCCAAATCCCGCTGTCGAATACAAATACAAAAGCAATAAAAGTTGATTCCATCGGCAGATATCGTGGGTTGTCCCACCCTTTCAGTGGGAGGGAGTCCCTTCCGGAAGAAATGAGCTGGTAATACTTAACGGTTGTTGCTTACCAAGACATGGTCTTCGCTCTTCCCTTTAGACTACGGTCGCAACAAGGCACCGGCCCACCAAGAGTGGGCACCAATATTGTGCCAGCATAGGGATTTGGACACCCAAAATCATGAGTTTTCTTTTTGTTCCCCCCAACCCAGCAAACCTGACAGGGTCCTGGAAAACCATTTCCTCTAAACTTACAAAAAATCTGATGGGGTCCATGGCAACGTGGGCAAAAAGGCGGGGGGGTCCCCTAATTCCATTCGCCTAGTTTCCTGCATGCAAAAGAAAATCAGACATGGAATTCCAGGCGTCACCCCGCCCTCCCAATTTCATCCCCCCAAAAATCCCCCAACTGTTCATCCCCAGCAGAGGAGGAAGAGAAAAACAAAAAAATATTTGCAGGGGTCACCCCCTCCCCCCTCCCCCCCTCTCTGGGATCGAGTCACGGCCCACGGCCCGGGGCCTCCAAGCCCTCCTCGTCCTCGGCCGCTGAGATGGCCGTAGCGCCCAGCTCCGAGGCCAGGCGATGCTGACAGGTCAGCTTGAAGGCGCTGCTCACCGACACCTGGAACTTGACTCACAAAAGCCAGCGGGAGGGGGGGGGACGGGGGGACATGGGCCTTTTTCTCTTTCTTTCTGCTGTTTGCCTTTAGTTTTGCTTCATTGTCTTTTGCATTTTGCTTCATATTTGTTGTTGTTGTTGTTGATTTTTTTTTGGGAGGAGGGGAGGGGGGGAGCATGTATGTTTTCTGTTTCTTTTTTGGAGGGGAGGGGGGGTCAAACTTCTTGTGTGTGTGTTTGCTTTTTGAGGGAGGGGTTCCAAAAGTGGTCCCCAAATAGGGGATGTGGTTTCCTTTGTCTTCCTGGAAACCCATATATGACGTTTTTTTCTGTCCATACGCCTTGAGCCATAAAAAAAGACCATACGGTCATTTACGGCTTTTTGTCAACAATTTGTTGAACAAATACGGGTTGCATACGGCCAAATACGGCCACCGGTTAGCAAAAAATGACCTATACGGGAAAAACGATCCAAATATGGGTTCCGTCCAAAAAAAATGGCCATACGGCTTTCCAGGTTTGTTAAGCATCACTTAGCAACACCCAAAGAAGACAGCAAACAAACGACCTTTGCAGAAGATGTTGGCCCATACGTCAGGGGATCGACTTGCAAAACAAGTCGGGCATCAATCAAACCCCTCGTGTCCCCAGCCCATCACATCCCCAGCCCTGACCTGCACAGTCTCCTCCTCCACATTCTCTGCCGAACTGCTGAAGAGCAAGTTCAGGCACAGCCACTGGGGAGCACAGAGTGCCGACAGCAGCTCCAGGGATGCGGCCATGGTGGACGCACTGGCCGACTCCGCTTTGTTGATCAAGAGGTTCACCGCTTTCGCCACCATGCGGCACTTGGGCACGGAGTGGGAGGACGGAGATGCGAACATGAGACCCAGCAGGCGGATGGCCTGTGAGAAGGCCATAGGTGGCAATGAGGTGGCCGGGGAGTGCGCCAACACCGATTGGCACAAGGTTTCCACTGAGTGCTCCGTCAGCGCCAGGCGGGCGGAAGTGCTCATGGCCCCGAAGTGCGCCAACAAAAGCAGGAGCCGCGACACCGCCCGGGCATCTCTAGAGTCCCGTGCCGCGCCCCCGCTGATGTTGCCGTTGTCCTCCTCCGTTTCCATCACCACGCCGTTCAGGGCGGCTTCAAACAAGCGCCGGATCAGCAGAAGAACTGGCAGACCAGCAGCGGTGAGCTTCTCCATGACCTTGGCGGTGCACATGTGGAGCAGGGCATCGGAGGTGAGCGCACTCTCCGACACCACAGCCAGCAGCTCCCCGATGTCGTCCAGGCATAGCCGCTCCCGGCGCGAGTTCACAAGCTCCACCAGGCCCAACGCCTGTGCTGCTCCACTTTCCCTGTCCTGCGCCAAGGCACGGACAAGTGGATCCCTCGCCTCCGGCAGGGCGGCGCCCTCTTCCCAGTCTTGCACCTCTGAGTCGGTGGCCCAGAACTGCCCATATCCTCCTTGACCATTGTTTTGCAGGCGCAAGGTCACCACACCATGGTTGCCAGTGCGAGTGCCGGTGGGAAGCAAAACGGCATGTGAATGAAGCCCATCCCCTGCGGGTGTCTGAGTGAATTGAATGCTGAAGTGGTAGGCCGCAGGGAGTACAGGCTTCAAGGTGCCGCATGTGGCCAAAAGCAGCAGGTCCCCTGCAAAATGCGAGGGCAAGACCCGTGCATGCCGCAGTAGGGGTAGCAAAAGCTGACCACCGGCTGCTTGTGGGAATGCCTGGAACCAAAGGCGGAACACGCGGCAGACCCACACAATGCAGTGCCGCCACAGCAGCCTGAACTCTGGATCGCTGTTGAAAGACCCTCGTGGGGCCAAGCCGGATAGTCCAGAGGTGAGACGCTGCACCAGGAGCAGGACCGTTTGGCACAGCTCGGTGTGGCGGTACTGGGCAAGCCCAGCCTCCCGCAAGGCACACAGAAAATGCGCACAGGTCTGGAGAGCTGTTTCCAGCAACTGCAGGTGCGCGCGGCGGGTGGCATAGATACTGGCAATGGGCTTCTTGTCCTCACGAAGGATGGCCGCCTCCAGATTCAGGCTCAAAGCGCCAGCGCAGCGAATGAGCCATGGGACCAAGTGAGCCAACCCGTCCTTTGAGGCGCCGTCTGCCTCCTGCGGCACAGCAAGCTCCAGGGCATCCTTTGGTCCAGCAGCTGCTCGACGGCAAATGACACGAGTGGCCAGCAGGGGCAGTTCCGTCAGGTCATCACTTGGGTAGCGTTCGTGGTCGTCTGCCAGGTCCTCCCCTGCCGCAGACTCTGCCTTGAAGTCCACTTCCGGGACCTCAACTCCATTTGAGGCGCCGCTATGGCCTCCAAGCACAAGCTTCATCCTCCGGCTGCCTCTTTCCTCGTCGGATCTTTTCAAGGCCCTGGGGCCTTTGGTCAACACCAGGCTGGCCATCAGCTTGGCGTTGCTGGCCATGCTGCCGCTGGAGTCATCCTCCCAGGGCCGAAGTTGTGCAGCCAGCTCCTTGAGGTTTTTCAGGCACTCGAGGTCCGCACTGTGGCGCCCCATCCTCACCGCCTTTCCCAGGCCGCCCTCTGCCCCCTCGCTGTCCAGCGCAAACTCCAGGAGGCTGGCAGCCTGGGTTGGGAGCTCCCCAGGCTCCAGCAGCCGAATGGCCTTCTGGGCCAACGCCAGGATGCGAGCACCGAACTTCTCAGCGGCCGCACCCGAGGGATCAGACAGGACCAGCGCGTGCAGAATGGCCACCAGGTGCCGAAGCGAGGGGGGGACTGGCCGACTGAGCCTGCCACTGCCATTGGGCGCCTCATCCAATCTGCCCTCGATCTGCCGCATGAGCCACTCGGCGAAGAAAATAGACCTGAAGGCATAGACCACCGCGCAGCGGCCGGCGGACCCCTTCATGCAAAGCCGGTGCAGGGCAGCCAGGACCGGGAAAGCATGCTCTTCCGGCAACAGGCCGCCACGACCCTTTGACCTGAGCGCAGGCACTGGCTTCCAAGTCCCGAAAACGCATCTAAAGGGCATCCTATTGAACACTCTAGTGGGTGTGATGTTCAACATGCAGAACTGTGTCTCTAAGTTTGCTAGGAAGCTTCGGCAGTCAAGGCAGTCCCTGGCTTGGTTTCTTTCCTTCTTCAATTTGAGACCTGGCCTGGTAGATGCCACCAAGTGGAGCGAAAGCCTTAGCGCGCGCATGTGGAGACCCAGCAGGGCAGCCAGCTGCGGCGCGCCCACGTCGCGAACCAAAGCTGCCGGGAAGCGAGGCACCGCTGGCAGGCTCCCGTTCGGGCCGCCCTCCAGGATGCTCAGCCTGTCTCAACTGGGGCTATCCCCTTTGACCGCCAAAACCATTGAGTTGGAGGTTGCTTTCAGGCTCAACCCTTGATCAGCAAATCATTACAATCTTACCAATTAACATGGAACCTGACAGGGGGTCCTGGGAGACAAGGACCCCCTGTCAGGCTCCATGTTAATTGGTGGGAGGGCAGCTCGGCTTCTTCCCCGCCAATTAGTGCACTGAAGTGCCAACAAGCCACAAGGAAGTGATTGTCGCATTATCCGCGGCCAAAAACTGAGGACCGCCCGTGCAGGAGAGCAACGTGCAGATTAATCGCTGGAAGGGCCGGAAAACCATGAGCCGATCCTCTGGCGGCATGCGGGGTAACCTCCGCATCAGCGTGCAAAGGCCCGAAAGAAGGCGGCGCCCAGTCAAAAAGGACTCCAGAAATCCATGCAAATGGCATTGCCCCTGTGAGAAAGGGTCGTTCGCCACTGGTCCAGTCCCGCCTCCGCCGAAGATGATTGCTGGCAGCCGGCTGGAATCATCACCGGGGCTATTGAGGATATCATCACCGAGCAGCACGCAGGAGCTCTGCACGTCTCGCACCATGATAGGTTGGCTGAGGGATTCGAGGTGCGTGGCGGTATCCTCTAGCGCCTCAGCGGCAAGCCTGTGAAGTCTCTCCTGCGGCGCCTCTGTCTCGAGCCCTTCCAGCTTGGAGCAGTAGTCATCGCACCGGGCCAGGGCTTCATAAAGCGCCGCCCTGCGGAGCAAGGCCAAAGCCACCATCTCCAATTTGGGCTGCATCCCGTCCAAGGTCAGCGAGAGAACCACCTCATATGCTGTCGGCGTGCTTGTATCTGCCCAGCCCAGGAATGCTTCCATGCCCGCCACATGTGAGCACAGCTGCAGAAGGGCCTGCAGCGCGGCCAGCTTCAAGCTTTGCTGCCCCCACTCCGCATCTTTCAGGATGGCGATGATCACGTCCAGGCTGCGGCCCTTCAGCACCTGAGCCGCTGCCGTGGCCGAGATGAGGCACGTGGTCAGGGCTTGGAGGGCTGCCTTCAGGGGCTTGAACTCCAAGCGCTCCAGGCACCGAGACACCAGGGACAGCAAAGACCTGGCGAGCTCTGGGCCCAGGTGCACGTGGCCCGCGTTTTCTGGGGCTCGCTGCGCCAGCAGAACCACATCCTGCGACAAGGCCTCAGCTTGCTCCAATGGTCTCACAAAGGCACAGAGGTCATGGGGGTAATCCCGCTAAACCCAGGGACACCCCCTATTGACAAACTGGGGTTGATTCATAGGGTCAACATGACCAAGGTCCAAATGAATGATTCGCCTGGCCTCCAGCCTGGCCACCGTCTCTGCCTCGAGCACCTCGGCACTCTGCTGCAGGCCGCCCAGCCAGGCGTTGTGGTCGGCCAGCCGGGAGTTGGCTTCTTGCACCGCCCCCAGCCCCAGCGCGCGAGCGAAGGTGGCAGGCGAGCACTCGAAGTCTTTGAAGTCCTCGGATCTCTCGAAGTCCTGCGAGAAAAGAAGACAAAAAACAGCCACAGATTTTGTGTTCGGGCCGGTTGAAAGATGAGGGAAACCCACAAGAAGAAATTCAAAAGGTCTAAAAAGAAGATTTGAGTCTGGCAATGGGTCCTCCAGGTTCTCAGTAAAGTCTGGCCCACCCTCCTCCGCCATGTCCAGCTTCTCCTCGAAAGTGGCCGTGGGCCTCAAATGCGGCGCCACCGGCATGGGCGGGATGCTGGCGGATTCCAAGGCCTGGCCGTAGATGGCCACAGAGAGCTTGATAAACTTCCCCCGCAGCACCACGCTGTTGGACACCAAGTTGTGGGGCGCCTGGTAGGTCCCTACGGAGCTGGCCTTCAACGGCAGCATCGTGGAGCCGGGCGCCATCACGTCCGCCACATAGACCTCCAGCCCGATCATCCGAATGTCCGGGTAGGTGCGGCCCTCGAAGTTGGAGCCCACCTGAGGGAAACGGAACCTAAGCCTGCATGAAGTCTCGCCTGGCTGGACCTTGTTTCTTCACCCTGCGCTACCCCCCAGGCCACAAGGCCCGGCGAAGCCGGCGCCTTCTCACCTCGCCGGATCACCTTGATGCTATGCATGGCGAAGGGCTCTGGGAAGCGCAGCTCGCGCATGTGCTCCCCCATCTGCCGTGCCTCGACATGGTCCGCGAACAGCAGCACCTCCATGGCTCCGGCCGGCCAAACCGGCCAGAGGCCGGCCAGCCGAAAGCTGCCCCGGCGCTCTTGGCGCCCTGGGCAGTTTCACGCTACAAGCCGGAAACGCCCAGGCAAACACAGCCGTGCCATGACGTTCCTCAAAACATCGCAAGATGCAGAGGCTCTCTCTGCCGGTTTGTGCAAGCAACCCAGCACCAAAGTACAGCTGCCTCTGCCAGCATCGTATCCTGGCGGTGAGGGAACCAAAACAAAAAAAATATCATCCACTTTCGCTTCCCGAAGCGCTGAGTCGAGTGCAAGCCCCCCGTCCTCATCCGGGTACTTTCTGACCAGCGGCCTGGAATCCGCCACGATGATGGCGCCAAGGCCAACGGCCAGCGCAAGGCACTGCGCCGCCACCTTGCGGCCCCCTGCTTGGGTCAGGGAAAGCCAGCCAGCCAACCAGCCAGCCAGCCAACCAACCAGCCAACCAGCCGGCCAACCAGCCAACCAGCCAGCCAACCAACATACCCAAAAACCCGTCACCAGCCATCAGCCATGCACTCGCAGTCGAAGCACTCGCCTTGGTGCAGCTCCAAAGTCTGAGAAGATAAACACCTCAATGGATTCATCTCCCGCGCGGATGCTTCAGGGCAGTACCCAAACTTGTCAAAACCAGACCGCGATTTGTCGCTTTCTCAACTGCCTGGTTTCATGGTGGTTCCCTCGCAACGTCCTCAGAAGTCTCAGAAGGGTCCCTAGTTGTGACACTGCCCAGGTTACAGCAAAGGCGGCTGAGCTTCTTGCTATAACATTCTTGTTCCTGGCGCACACGGCGATGCCAGCGGTCCCGCAGGCAGAATGCGGCATGACTGTTCCAGCTAACTGCGGTCCAGGTTGGCATACAGGATTGGATCCGCCATGCGCGCCAGCAAGCACTGCTCGTGGAAGATTTGCTCATACAGCCTCGCGCCGCAAGAATTCCACACTAAAGCTGTGAAGGCTCGAACTCAGCCGCGCGCAGGTCAAGCCATCTATACCGCGGGCGGGGGCAGGCTTTAAGCCCCTTCAAGAAGCAGTCCTCTTCGCACGGGCATGGGCTTACTGCGTATGCGGCGCAAGGCGCACCGGTCCTGGGCATAGTAGCGGTCCTGCAGGTACTGCATCCAGGATACAATTGTCAACCCCACCTGTTTTGAGGCATAGAAAAGCTAGTTTCCCTTGGTCTTTGAATCAACTCCCGTCCTGAAAGGCATTGTACCAACCTTCGGCCAATCGAGCTTTGCATACCCTCCCCGCAGGTTCCACCAAAAATAGAACTCCAACGCAGGAATTTCCGGGCCAATTGGCAAGCTGCTATCAAGTGTGAAGATGGTAAGCAAAAGCGAAATCTTGAGTTGCCTAAACTTGAGCAAAAGACTGTACTGATGAAAGTGCCTATTATCACCGTTGCCCTCCTAGCAACACACGCGGACCTCTTACTGGGGGAATCTGGCTTCAGCGGTTTGGTGGTTGCCCCCATGCGGGCAGCAAACTCGGCAAGAACAACCAACAGCAGTGGTGTTGATAGATCTACTCCAAGCTGTGGCTCGGCTGAAGCAGATACGAGTGCTGCAACAGCAAAGTTCCTCAAAGGATGTCTCACAAGCCAGCTGCTTCGACACAGGATGTTGTAAACGCATAACCCTTTGCTGGATTTTGTTTAATTGCATGCCGGGGTGGGGGGTCTTGGCCAAACAGACATGTTTGAGGTACCCGCGATAGGAGCCCATACATTCTCGGCAGCTTTCTCTCGTCTAGAGCATCATTGACATGCCGCGAGTGCCTACAACAGGTGCAGTGCATGCTTGCCTGTTGCAGCCAACGTGACCGACGTGGGCTGGGGGTGCCGGGCGTGGGTAGTGGCAGGTAGTGCTAGGGATTGCAACTCACGATCCAAAAAGGGGACCTTGTTTTTGAGGTTTTTGCACGCAAGGCTTTATTGTGATAGGTGTAAATGACAGGGTGTCGTGTTGTTTGGTAACTAACTATGGATTCTTATTTGTGCCACAGCTGTTCCCCCGCGTGTTCCTTTCTATTTTTTCCTGATGATCCGAAACGCACGGGCTCCCCTAGGCGCAGGTACCATGTTCGAGGGTGTCCCCCAGTAAACTCAGAGCCATGATGCAACACGTTCTAAAGCTGGGCCGCCGGGCCTCGCAACAGCGAGCAGCCAGACGCTGCAGAAAGGAGCAGCAGCCACAAGAGTCGGGAAGCCTAAGTTGCAAAGATCACTTCTCGGGGGGGCTGAGGCTCAAAGGCAAACCAGACTGTCCAAAGATGAGGAGTCCGCCTTTGGCTCTGCTCAATATCTTGCTTGACTGAGGCGGGGGCTCTTGATTGCACGCACGCCCCAAGCGACAGGCATGCCAGTAGAGACCTGCCGCATATGCAAGCAATTTCTCCCCGTGGCATCCCGCACCGTCAGAACATTGTGAGCAAAATGAGCTCAGGATCTACGAACTTGTTCTCTCAATTTGACAGCCCCCTCCCATCGACCCTTTCCCTATGATGTGGTCACAACTTGTCGCAAACTCCAAGCCAAAGCAGGCTCAGCATCAAGCACGGCCCTGCCGACCCTGTCGCCAGGCCAGCGAGCTCCAAATGAGCTGAAGGCGGAGTTGCAGCTGCCTGGAGTGCCTGGGAAGCATGTCTCCAATGCAAGTGGAGAGGCTATTTAAGACTCGCAGTAACTAAAAAAGAAAAGCAGTTGGTCGCTCGAAAACTGCACGGAGCTTTACATGAAACTCTCATCCGCTGGGCGCCTCCACGATGGCTATCGCCAGTAGCAACGCAGAGGCCGGCCATGCCTCCAACTCCAATCTGCAATGACTCTTTTTGCTGATCAATCGGGAATGAGGGAATGAACCTGGGGCTTCCCTTAAAGGAAACCACAATAGATTAGAATTGGGTCATTCCAATTCTCATTCCCTGCCTACCGCAGGGATCGCAAGTCCTTTGATTCACCGAAGATCTCGAGGGTCCACGGCTTGAGGCTTCGGCCAGGCCCATGGAAGCGATCGCCGCATGGGGCACGGCTGGACGGCTGGAGTCTTAGTCCACTGGCTTGGGCCGAGAGACGCTGGGCTGCACCTGGCTCGCGCATCACGCGGCTCTCTGCAGGCCGGCGCTTTTTTTCCTCGGAGCTCAAGGCTTCTGGAAAGCCAGGCTTGTCCTGACAAGTGCCATGCGGCTCGGACAGGAAGAAGTCAGCAGCGCGCACAATCGAACTTGAACCTGGAGCTTCCAAAACGCTGCTGAATTCACCTCCAAGGAGCTTCCTCTTATGCCACTCCCCATACTTCACCGGCATGTGATCCGTTCCGTCATGCCGCAAGAACGGGCGCAGCGGCTGCACAATGGTGTTGCGGTCCTGCCACTTGTATCTGGCTATTCGGCCAAAGGCACGAAGCCACGTCTCTGGACCCCATTTGGTGCGTTTACTTGCGTCCCTTCGAAATTTGTTTGAGTAAAGTAGCACCATGTTGAGCAAAGAGGCCGGCTGCAAGAATATGATGTGCGACCTCGGCTACGCCATGTGTGCGTGTGGAGAAACTGCCCTGGACAAACTGGATATCCTTCAAAACCTATGTAATTACTCACCTTTGGTGCTCCCACCGGGGCCATGAAGATTCACAGGGATCCTCTCTTGTTGCGACTGCCCTTGGGATACGGGATCTTTTTGTGTTCAGTGGCCCAAAAAGGACCCAGAAATAAAAGGTTGGCCCTTTGTGGAAGTGACTAAAAATCGACCAACAAGGGGATGGAGAAGGCCAAAAAGTCGGCTTTGGGCAAGTCAGAACACCAAAAAGAGAAACCCGCCCCCATTGTCGGGGGCTCCCCGATTTGGCGACAAACGCATATGGAAGGCCAGTCGCTGGCGAGAACCGCCTGGAGTCACGCGGTGCACCAGTGCTGGGACCTGGGGCAGGTTTGCTGGGCCCGTGTGGCTCAAGGGTTTGGATCTCCACCAAGCAGCCGAGGATGTACCAAACAGTAAGAATCATAGCCATCGGAGGTCCCCCAAACTCCCGACCCGCGCCTTGCCGTTAGTCAGTATCTCAAGCATGTCTCCAGCAAAAAGCACGGCATGGCCTTCAGAACTGATCAGATCTTGACGAAGCGTCAAATGCAAGGTGTGTGATTTCCAAGTTGACCAAACTGTGGGATTCCCACCGTGTTCCCCTCACTCTCAAACCAAGCCACCAAGGGAGTGCCCAATTCAGGCCAAACATTGCCCGGGCCAAGAAACTCTGGCCTGGTGGTGGTACCAACGATTGCCAGGAACCAGCAACATAGGCCTCCAGCCCGGGCGCGGTGCTTTGCTGCAGCGTCACCACGCCTTATACTATATACGCGGACCGAGGGGCCACTACCCATGACAACCCTCACATACACACAATCCTGTGACAACCCCCACGTACACACAATCCTCTGCAACTCCTTCACTGGAGCTTGATCACCCAAGGCGCCATAGTCTGTGTGCTCGGTGCAAGAACCATTGGGTGGATAAACGCTGTGGCCTCGGTGCTGCAATCTCGAAAAATGCGACAACGGCACGTTGCACCTTGCAGCCAGTTGTCGCAATCTGCTACCGGCCCAGCTTTCGCAATCCAACAAAACCTGACAACGATGCAACCCGGTGGTGTGAGGATAAGACTGTATGCGCCTTCCATGGCCAAAGTCTGGAAATCTGGTAATTGCTTATGATCCCGCCTTGGAACCCAAGGTGTTCTCTGGCTCCTGAACTCAGGGCTGTCACCTCTGTCTCAGCTGTTCTGTGCGAACAGTCACTTGCCCTCCACATCCCTTCACAGTAGCACATCTCGGCCTCTGCATCAGTGGCGGAGGCCAGCTCGCTCTTCATCATTGCCATCAGCATCTGTAGCCTCACATGCAGCAGGCGAAAGAAAAATCAACACGTGCACGCTGACGTGGCGTATTGGCTTGACGCCGGGCAGCACGCTGTCAAAGCCGTCCCGGATCCAGCTCAGCTCGTCTCAGCCCGGTCCAACTTCAAGCGGCGTTCGTTTGCCCCTCAAAGGCCTCCGTCTCTTTCCTATGTGCTGAGAAGTTACCCCAGTCCCTGGACATCACATCCACCCCCACGCCAAAGTTGTAGCGAATATCCGGAGTGTGCGCTTTGGCCTCCCCCACGCGCGTCCGCAGCAGATCCTCGCCCTTGGAAAACCGGAGCTGGCGGTTCAGGACTGCCGGCCTCCGGCGGAAGGACCGATGGTCCTGCAGTGCCGCGCTCTTCTGGAGGTTAGGCCAACCGCTTTAACCTCCACATGGATTTGCCTCAAAATAGGGGGCCGGTGACTTCAAAGGGAAGTCTAGAAGGAACGCCTCATGCAAAACCACCTTCAACTAGGCCCCCCCCTAAACATGGGCTCTGGAATCTGTTGGGTGCCCAAGTTTGCCCACAGCCTCCAAAGCCTGCTGCCACAGGCCCTGCCAGGAAACGAAGTCCGGGTCTGGGAGCGAGTCGTCTCGAACGAAGACAGCCCCGCATGCGCTGAGGGCTGTCAGCAAGCCACCATCCGCCCAGTCGATGCAAGGCACCTTGGGCAAGACAGGCTATGGCTCATATGGTGCGGAGCAATGCCGCCAAAAGCGGGAAGCAAAGCAATGAATGTTTGCCTGGGCCCAGTGTGGAAAGAAGAGGCATCCAATGGAAGCCTTTGCCTTCCAGCCTTGAACACCTGTTCTACCTCTTTTTTGTTTGCCAAGTCATTGTAACGCGCTCTTTGACAAGCTTGCTGGGACGCTTGTGGGGAAAGAGGAGCTACAGGAGTAACCTGTGAGAACCCAAAGGAGCGTGCGGGAAACCCATGGACCACCATGGGGTACGCGTGGCATAGTTGGCCCATCGAAAAACCACGGGGGCGCCTATGCGGAACACACATGCCCAGCTTACATTCAAAGCAGGCGAGGCCCAAAAAGGCGTAAGTCTAAACTGTAAACCTGTAAGTTTCTCAGGCTCGTTGGGAAGGCCGCGCACAGCATGCAAAAGACAATCATGATTGCTCAACATGCTAACTGCAACAGCCAGTGGTAAAGCAACATGCACGAGTCAGCAAGCATCCCTCTTATTTTGTGACACGGATTCAGAGCATGCAATATGCGACTAGAGAATTTGGCCCAGCATTTTGGCTGCTGTGTCTGTCGCGGTGCAGCTAAACAAGCAAGTTCAACAACCTCCCATTCACATTGTCAGCAAGAATTCAGGCGCGCGCAGGTCGCAGCGACAAGGATACCTCGTAAGGTAGCGGTACAAATCCGGCCCCTCAAATGAAGCTCTCTCTTTCCCGGTGTGCAGACCAGCTGTTGGCCCATTCTGAATATTGGCCTTGTTTGAGGTCCCCTGCAACCATGTGCTGCAAAGGCCCCAAAAGAATTGTGGCGACCCCAGCGGCCCAACCCCCTGGCCAAGTGCACCGAGCTCGGGCAGCCGGTCAGCCCAAAAGGTGCGACCCTTTGCCGCTTCAGCCGTGGGCCTGTCTCCTCAGCCTCCTCCAGGGTTCAGACGGCTTGCCAGTGCCATTTAGGCCCTTTATGGGAACACGGCTGACTCGCAGCGCCTTGACTAGCAAAACTTCATCATCCCGCAGCACGTGGCATATGAGCTCGCTGCGCGGCAGTGCAAACCCATCCACGAAGCACGCCAAGCTGACATCGCTTCTCAGCCTCGCGGCGACAGTTCGTTCTTTTTCTTTCCGGGCCAATCCTTTGGTTCCAGAACCCGACGGCAAAGAGACCCCTGCCAGGCCGCTGTGTTTGGACCATGTCCAAAAACTCGGCCACCGTGCCATCTGGGCGACGCAGTACGATGCGAGGCGTCGCTGACAGGCTGGGACCTCAAGGAGAACCAGGCTTGCCATGTTCCGCATGGTGCGAAGCTGCACACTATGTACCAAACAAGCATCCCGCAAAGCCACTGGGCGAGTTGAAACTGTATGTGCATGGAAACATGTAAACAGTCGTAATTTCAGGCATGTACGATCGGTGCCATTTCAGCAAGCTGGAACGCCGCAGGGGAAGCGAAAACGAAGCAATGAACAAGAGAGGCAAAACAATGTCTCTTCGAACTGCTTCCCCTTTGGGGCCATACACATGCGCATGTTTGGATAAAGGGAGCAACTTCAGATGAGCAGCATAATTTGAGCCGAAGCCGTCCAGTGCTTCCACTGGATGTCGTCATGCACGTAGGGGAGCGGCATGGATGCTCGCGCCGCACCCATGTGGTGAATCACTATAAACACTGAAGTCAGTGCGCATGTCAAAGGCACATTGCAGCGGTGGGCTGCATGTCGCAGTTTGCTTCAGGTGTATGCACCTCTAGGAGCTCAACAAATCAGACGGCCAAGATACACTGGCTGAGTGGCTGGCAAGCAATTCAACAAGTTTGCATCTGATATCTTAGATTTTGGCATTGTGACATGGTAACCGTCCCCAGGATATGCTGAAATTTTCATGCTGAAGGATCCATGATTATAACCCTTGACGTCGGACCACATCATGCCAGTTCTGCAGCAATCCATCTGATTCAAGGCGCGCACTAGTTGCTTCTTTCTCGCCCTTATGGTAAATGCCGGTCAGAGCTTGTGCTGCGGCCAGCTGAAAGCCTAACGATACTGGAGTGCCTGCGCCGTAGTGAATGTTTCCAATGTGCCCTGCCTGCTGTGGTACGGATGTTATGTTCCAAATCTTGGTTGCTCGCTTTGCTGTCTTTCATCCCCCTTCGTAGAGTGACCCTCGCCCTTGCACTCCTTGACGCCGTTCACCAGTTGGCGCCTTCAGCGGCTGCGGCTGCGGGACCGCCGCTTCTTTTTCTTCTTTTCCGGCTCCTTGTCCTGCAAGCGGGCAACGTGAACTCGCGTTACCGGGTTCCACGCCGATCCTCCGGAGGGTTCCACACCACGTGGACCTGAGATTGGCACGGCTCCGGATGAGCTCCGTTGGGTGACGGAAGTGCGGCCAAGCCACCTTCCAAGTGCCAGCCTCGTGATTGCACTGGTGGAAGCCCAACTCCTCCAGGTGTTCCCAACATGTTCTGCAGCTCTGAAATCTGTCAACACAAATGGTGCAGCATGCAGGCTTTGCAGATCAATAAGGTCGTTGTTTTTCAGACCACTCGCTGAACAAGTTCAGCCCCAAAAATACCTTACCAAGAATCGAAAGTCGGAAAGTTGTTGAAAAAGGGCTCAAGGCGAAGCGGTGGCGTGCGTGCATGTTTCGCGCCAGTTGATTCTCGGGCACCAAATCTCCCAGCTTTTGTAGCGTGACAAGGGCGTTTGGCAAGGCATTGACAACGCCTGCCTCAAGGGAAGTGGCCGCTTACACCAATTGCGGCCCGCCCTGCCAGCTATGCTGTCCTTGACCTTCTCCACAAACTTGGGCAGCATAGCTTGAAGCACTTCAGCAAAAAGGATGGGTTGCCCCTCCTTGCATCCAATCTGACAGACAACGGCAAGCCTTACCGTAAACGACGATGCCAACGCTAAACAAAGCTCAGTGGCGGTGTAGGTAGAATTGAGCCCACGAGTGGCGTAGAACCAGCTCTCTGCACTGCCACCCTCGCCTCGGCTCTGTCAACTTGGGGACTTTCGCGGTCGGCGAAGGGCTGCATCGCCGGGCCGCCCCAAGCGTCGACGAAGTAGGTGGAGTCGGTCAAAATTCGGCGCGGGAAGTCCTTGCAGGATATCAACAATATGTCGATACATATGGGTCAATGGCATGATATCTGCCTCGAAACAACCGGTAGGGACTGCCGACTTGGATCAATCGCATGATATTTTCCTCTCTTCGGGGTGCCCTGCCTCAATCTCCCGCGTGATCACCTCAAAGGAGATTGTGGCCTGGAGAAAAACACGTGATGCCCAGCTTGCTGCTGGAGGTGCCCCAAAAAACTCCATAGGGGGGTGGGGATTGCTTCGCGTGCAGACAGCGTGAATTCAGGTGGCTGATGCAGAAGGCTGGAACCCTGCAACCCACAAGCAGCCTGCACCTTTCCTAGAAAGGGCCTGGCTGCCTGACACTGAACAAATATTGCAACATGCAACAGGCAAAAAAATGTCTGTGTTTGTGCCTCTGGGTTTCAAGCTGGCTCAACATCATGACACATGACCCATCTTTTGCAGAAATGGGCCGCCATGGCAACACGCCTCGCACTTCTGCTGCTCAGCTTCCTTCATGCATCGTTGCTTGAACCTGGGCGCAAAGCGGGGCAGTGCATCCCAGGAATCGCCGAATCCCTTGATGCAAATTCCGAAATGACTTCCCCACCTGTGCGACGTGTTGGTGTCCAGTCAAGCGTTCAACTGAGAGTGTGGCATGTCCACAGCTGTCTCAATAAGTTGCTCCTGAACGGAATTCCGAGAAGCCTGAACACTCGGCATGGCCTTCTAACTTGTGAGCGTCCTCTTTTTCGGTCCATCTTTTCGCGATCTTCTCTCGGTCACCTGCACATGTGCCATCGTATACATTTCATTGGCACATTTACACGTATGCAGCCGTATGCATGATGGATACGCGTAATAAATATGCATCATGAATATGCATGCGCATACACCTACAAAGCCAAATGCAATCATACCAGTATGGCATGCCTACATGCTCAGGGGAAACAGTGTAGTCAAAACGTAGCACAACAATATCCAAACACGTGCTCAATTGCCAGAACTAGAGAGAGGAGTTGCGCGCGTTTTTGTCATGGCTTCCTTGGAGGGGTTTGTTGAATAAGGCTCATGACTGCATGGCGTCAGCGTATCCCTCTGGCCTAGCTCCGCCTTTTTGGACGCGACGATCTTAGTCAGATTCTGCGCCTCACGTGTCAACTCAGATAGCTTGAGTCACAGGCGCACTCAGGGCCCAGGCGAACGACATGCCGGGCAAAGCGTGGAAGGCCACGCTCCAGCGGTCACCCCGCTTGGACCGACAGCATGCACGCAGCATCAAAACGCAACTCAATTCTTCTGGTTGGCACTTCCTGCGTGAAATCATCAGTGCCATGTGCTGCCTCGCTGCGTGCTGCAAATCGCTGTTTTGTTTTAATCACGCCGTGCTCTCGTGGGCCGCTTTGGCACGGAGGGCCGTTGAGGAAATATCATTGCCTCAACAACTTGGAGACTGCGTGCCACCCGAAGGAAGTGGCTTGGGTGAAGGCCGCGGCAACAGCATCGACGCACTGAGGCTGAGACGAAAGTCGGGAAGGGCAAGGAACAAACCTGACAACTCCTTCAGGCTCGCATTCATCAACGCAAATCCCATGCACTCCCAACCCAAATTTTGACTGCTCATTTCTCCTCGGGCAACTTCAGGATGGAGTGAGTTTCGATGGACTTGAAGCCGTCACCATCCACACCTTTGCGAATGGTGTCAGGGTGGACCCCACTGCAATGCATACCGTCAACAGTGGGCTACCATGACCATTCTGCAACTGCGTGTTGTTGTTTTTTGGTTGCTTGAAGGTCCAAACAAGGAAACCGAGCGAATTGCAAGCGGTGATTTTGGATGTTCAGCTCCAGGTTGGTGTTCCCATGCTGTGAATCCTGTCCCTCTTCCAGGTTGCCAACAATCATCAAGTTTTCTGATATTGGGGGACCCCTACGAATGGTTGGTGCCTTTTGGTTTTATCCTTCAAACCCGCACAAAAAAAAGGACACGCACTCAGTTTCTGCTTGGCTAGCCTTCCATCCGACGGCTGGTGAAATGGCCAATTTGGCCCAACGAAGACTCAAGAAAAAAACATGAATCTCATTTTCTGCGTGAAGGAGCTGCAGCGTCAGTGTGGGCTTGAAAATGAAGAGTTTAAACATGCATCAATCCCAATAATCACCTCCATTGGCTATCCCTACAAAAGGGCCACCTTTTGCAACCCAAGCGAAGGATCCAAGATCGCCTTTCAAATGTTTCATCGGTCGAAAACTGTCCTCAGCGAATTCGACCCAAGCCAATGGTAGCAACAACCTTGTTGTTTTTGCAACCCCCTACTGAAAACGAACAGAACCAAAAAAGAAGTCAACAACAGCGAACATTGGGAGACTATGCTTTTGGTTTTGATCGAAAACCACCAAACAGGGGGTACCAACTCCGAAAAAGACCAGCCACCCATTAGGAAACCGTCAAAATCATGGCAACTAACTGAGTTCCCCTGCGTCCAGCCACCACAAAGGAGACCCGCTTGCCTCAAGCTGGTTTCTTGCTACCCCACACACAATCGGCCCTGAGCTCGACATGTTGGTTTGTGTGTGTTTTTCAGGGGACACCCCCTAAATGATGGTTTTCTTGTTGGTTTTCCTTGAAAAGCCATACCCTCAAAAAAGACGCACCCATGTAGTGCCTAAGGCGTGTCTTGCCCTGCGCCCCGGGCTGTGCAGCTTCTGCAAAGCGGTAATCACCCAAGCTTGCCTCCTGAGCGTTCCGGTGGGCGGTGTGTTCTCTGGCGTTCGGGTTTGGGTTTTCATAGCCTGGAATAGGCGAACAGTTCAGCCTGTGGTTTGTAGGCTCCAACTCATGGCCGTTGAGAAAGCCTTCTTTCCGCACTTGCGCATCCAGCTTGTGCTACCCATGCACAAACCAGTAGACTTGCGTGGCTGCCAACACGCTCTCCTTGAGCAAAGGATCGTGGGGACTTTGGGTCAAGTCGGTGGATGCCTCCCCATGTGGCCTCTGATGAAACACCTTGGGCGGTGAGTCAGCTGGCTGAGGGCCTAAGCGCCGCCGCTTCGGAGTGCATGGCTCCCCCATCATGTCACAGCACACCTTCTTATTGCATATGCCCAGCCGAGCCAAGCAGTCAGCTGGAAGGAGGGGCAAAGACCCCAGGCCAAGCTGAGCAAAGCTTGCATCCCCCGAAGGCTTCAGCTTGCACATGGGCGATGCCGTCGACATCTCCCGCGCCTGGGACCCGACTTCAAGCCGCACTTGTTTCCCCGCTCCACCCCGGCGAAGCGTGTGGGCGCAGAAGTCCTCATACCGCGCCCGGGCGCGCTTCAAGCGCTCCTCGCCGGGCAGAAAGTCCTTGAGATGCGGCTGCCTGGTTGGCAGCGGGAAGCCCAGGCTGAAGAGAGCGGTGGCGTGGGGGCTCTCCGGTTGCAGCCCCACGCTCCAGCCACGCAGCTTGGAGAAGAAGACCAGCGTGTAGCGCCGACCTTCAAATGGGAGGACCTTGTGAGGCAAGTTCCCGTCGAAGCCCAGCCACCGGCCGCGGATATCAGCCACACGGCCCTTGCCGGCATGGCTGCCATCATCTACCCACAGCTGGCCACCCCTGTAGGGCCCTAGGCCAATGATTCGAGAGTCCCCCGCATCTTTCTTGTCCACATGCAGTTCCGCTGCATAGTCCTTGTTCACCTGGATGGACGTGAAATGAAAGCCTGGCAGCTCGCGCCTCGCGAAGTCGCACAGCAGCCGGCACAAGTTGGGCCTCTCTCTTGTATGGCGTGAGGGCATGGGGCCCCGGAACCAGCACTCTGTCATACCCAAACACATGCCCAGCACATCACCCTCCTGGCTCGCGCGCCGAACATTTTTTCTGCGGCTTGCAGGGAAGTCAATGCTTTCCAATGCTTCCAGAATGATCGCTCGGTCATTGCTACTTGCATACCTGTTCAGCAATGACATGCCCACATCGCGACATTCCATGGCAGCTGTTGCAGGGTAGGCGGGGTTGGAAGGCAAGTCTTGTCAGCCTGAGCTGCCTGCTGCGAGCACAATTGTAGCAAGCACTGATGCCACAACAACTCAAGGCTGATCACTGCCCCCCTCACGGCCAGACAGGCAGGTCAAGCGACCTTGAGGCTCCGGCTCCTCATCGGAGCTGCCTTCAAAGGCACCTGACACTCCCACATGCGCGGCTACCTGCCCTCACCTCCACAATTTGAGTGGGGAACCCATCAAACAAAAGGAAGAGAGGGTGCCAGCGAACAACGTTCTCTTGCTTCGTTGCTTGGCTTAAGCTCGCATAATTTGTGTCTTGGCTCTAGCCAAAGCACAAAATCAATATCAATGCCAAGGGTGCGGCCGGCTGGGGCGTAGTACTTCGCATCTAGAATGCGCCTTCCATAGCTGCCGCAAGCACTGCGTGCCGCATTGGCCCCCAAGCTTAAAAAAGTATTCACACCTCCTCTAATCTAGTGCCCCTCTGCCCATCTCAGGACCCCTCCCAACCTGTACGAGTCGTAGCCAACAACGAAAACGCAGCCGGGGAACCTCTGGCACGGGAGAGGGCACATCTGGTTGCAAGGTCTGGTCGTCTTGCCACGAGTCACAGCCAGAACCCTTGGGCCCCTACACATCCGCCTTGTGCTGGAAGAGCGTTGCCCTACTGGCCAGGATGCGGTTGCCTCTGGCCACCGCCTAGCGGCTGAAGCCATCTGTGCAAACAGCACACGTGGCCATTGAACGCCTTCTCCAGGCGGCTGCACAGAGTCTCGACATCAATGGCGCCCTTGTCCGCATTCACAACCTCAGAACGAGATGCAATCAATACACTGGCCCGCAACAGCGACCACCATCCCAAAAAAGGTTTTTGCGATTGCCCTCTTCTGTGCTATCGCTGGAAGGCCTTTCCAATGACTAGTTCTTCACTTCGCGGGTGAGGCTCAGGTGCATCACAGACTCAGCCCCAAGTCAGTCTGCCATGCAATGCTCCAATATTGTCCAGGATCAGAGGAGCCCTTGGACACAACGATACCTTTTGCAATCAAAATCCAGTTTACCTTGTTCAAAGCACCTGAGGTTCTGGGCGCAGAGTTCCAACAGAACGTTGCTTCTGGACCTGCATGTTTCTTGTGTCTGGCGTGGCGTTTGCCATGGGACCTTTCTTCCTAATCTTGCCAGCACACAGCAAACACTCTGCTGGTGCGGCAATATGCTTGGGCTGAGCAACCAGCAATCGTTGCCCCTATCTGCCGCAAGAGTGCAACCTATGTATCAGGAGCGCAGCAGAAGCGTGTGTGCACAGGCCTTTTCTTGGCTTTTTGTTCGCGTTTGTGCTTAGGAAAATGTGCCGCTGGCGCTAAGCAAACAAAGCCTAGCAAATGTCATCATCAACATGGCCATGCCTATCTCCCACTCCAGCCCTCCGAAACGCTACATGCAAGTGAAGAACCCGCAGCCTGCCAAGCATTTCCGCTGCACGGCGCGCCATTTCCTGGCTGGCAGGGCCCTTCAGCCGGCTCTTCATGCTATTCCTTCTTCGGCTCCTCATGCCCTTCGTGCACTGGGTTAAAAGAGCCTGGCCTGGGCCAAACTCTCACGCTCTCTCACTCTCTCCCTCCCTCTCACTCTCCCTCCCTCTCTCGCCCAAAGCCACATTTGGAGCCCCTGGCAAGAGCATCGTGCCTTCCGGGACCTCTGCTTGGGGCAGACCTAATCGACTCCCGAGCGCATTCACGCGGTCCAACTCTTGCGCAACTCCGCGTCGAGCGCTTCCTTTTTTTGCTCGCAGTGGCCCGAGCTCACCTCATCGGGAGGCGGGCGAGTGGCCTGTCAGTGCCACATCGGCGGATTGCAGTGGTTCTTACATGTTTGCCGTCCAGGCGCGCGTCTGAACACCGAGGTGGGATGGTGGCATGCTGCGCATGACATTTTCCATTATGACGTTGGCTGCAGCTCGGACATCTGTGTGAGACAACTCAGGGGCCCGCAAGCTCCCAAACTTGAAATCCACGCTGACCAAACAATCTGGGCTCCAAGCTCCTGAAAAAATCCGTCTTCAGCAAGAACGTCACCTGTTTTTTTTCTCCTTTCTTCTCACGTGTACACTTTGCCGCTGAACTTCTTTTGGGCCACGGTGACGCTGTGCTCTCGGCAGATGGGACACCTCACCTTGGTGCGCTCCAACCTTGGTTGACGTTGGAAGGGGAGAACAAGTTGACATTTTAGCAGTTAAGTGGGGATTTCCCACAAAACCACAACCAGCAAAAACATATAAAATGTTTCCCAACCGCCATGCAACTCCTTGTTGGACAGCTGCCCAGGCTTCACCGTCTTCCACTGCGCGTTCCCCGACTCCTTCAGCTCCCGAGCCACGGCCTTGCGGCGGCAGCCCGGGCAGAAGACAAGGTGGCCGCACTCCAGCACCACGAACAGAGCCGAGCGCTCGATGCACACCACGCAGATCCCCTCCAGCTGTTCGTCCTTCTCCGCCGGGCAGCTCTGACCTGGGTGCAGAAGGCAATCAGGGAGATGAGCTGGTTTTGCAGGTGGGGAAAGTGATGGGACATCGGCATTTGCAACCAGAAAGTTAAGCGTTACCCTTCCTCCCTCTAACATGGCACCTGCGGGGAGGCAACCTGGAAGATAAGTTTCCTCTTGGGACAAAGAGTGGAAAGGGTCGAAGCCAGCCAAGTGACAGCTCTGGCAGCTCTCGCAGCTCTGAAAGCTCTGACTGTCCGGCGTCTCGTTTTGGCTGGGAGGTTCCATAGCCGGCCGCGGCGCTGCTGCCTCCGGAGGGAGGACCAGCATGGAGTACTGACCCTTGTACTCCGGGACTCGGAGTGCATCCGGGGGGTCATAGTACTCCGCCAAGTTCGTGATCCTCCACATCTTGTGGGCCTGCAACTCCTCGGTGAAATGGCTCGACCGGAAGGATCGGACTATCCTGTTGTACGCGGCCATGCGCAGAATGCGCTCCTTGCTTGGGAGGCACTTCTGCAAATTGATCTTCTCCTCCTTCATCCAATCTTCAAACTGCAGCACCTGCCACTTGGGTACGATGTCCAGCGACCGTTGGGTGGAGATGGGCATGTATGTCCCGACGTTTTGAGTTGTTGTTCCCGGTTCTTCCACACACACACACACCCTACAAAAAAAAGTGTGCACGTGTATGTTTTTCAGCTGAAACCAGATTCCCGTGGGCGAAATGGGATGGCCTGATAAATGCAGAGCCGCTTTCTTTGGCACAAGTCCCGCATGACGTTGTAGGCCAACTCGGTGGCTTGGATCTGCTCCATCTCCTCTGGGGTCATATCCAAGGGCATCACTGCCGTGGATTCCAGTGGCTCGTAGATTCCCAGCTGAGGCGGTCTGGGCAAGCTCGTGGTTTCCTCGCTCCTTAGACAAACCAAGAGGCCTTAGACTAGCCTTAGGTATCTCCCTGTAGACTTTGCAAATATGGCCACTGTTGACGTGGGCAGAAGGGTCACCGCTTAGGGGCAATGCAAGTTACTCACCCGCCAAGCGTAGCGTCTGACACCCGATGGAGCTCACCAACTCGGGGCGGATGTTCTTCTGCGCTTCCCTCTCGGCCACCGCGTCGCTCACTCTGTCGATCACTTTGGCAAAGAGGTGCACCATCAGGGTATATGCCCTGGCTGCGTGCTGCGCTTCCTCCACGGCTTCCAGCTCACATCTTAGGAGCTCTTTGGATTTCATGAGGTCCTCCGGTTGTTGGCTCGACCCGGCGATTCGTTTTGCGATCGCCAGACGCTTGTTGGCCGTGTGGTACTGCTGCTCCACCTTGGTCTGACTGGGCGTGCGCTTGGGGCGGCGACACCAAGGGAACTGAGACTCTCAAACCAGCTTTCAACAGGCCAACCGGTGGAAAAGAATCCCCCCCTCCCCCCCAAAAAAAACACACCATGGTCGAACGCTGCTGAGCCACCTTGGGTCTGATGACATCCATCTTGGCATGGAAGCTCGTGGGCCCCTGCAGGTCAAGATCTGACATACCAATCTCCTCATTCCTCGGGGCGGTTCATGCAAACCCTGTTGGAAATTTGAGATCTTGCCTTTCCACGCTTGTTGAATACTCTAAAACAATAACACACCACTTTCATTGATCTGCCGAAGAAAAACGCTGAAAAATGCATGAGTGTCTGCAAGTCATTTAACTCGAGATACTGTTGTTTATGTCTGTTTGCTCGGCGTTTGCTGCAGGATGTGTGAGCGTGGCGTGCGCTTGCGCGCAGGCGTGTGGGTGTGTGGGTGCGTGTGTGTGAAGCTTGCACGTACGCAAAAGTCCCGCTTCTTTTCTGCATGCCATGCACATGTATCTGCTGCATGTGCCAAACAATGCCCGGGAAAGGGAAAAGCGTGTTCACCCTCCTCTTCAGCATGTCGGTGTAGACCTCGTAGATCTCCCTCTCCAAGTTGTGCCGCTCGCTGCTCCTCAGAAGCTCGAGGCGCTTCGCGGCCTCCTTCGGCAGCTTCCTGAAGGGTCGAGACATGGAGCACACCATATGGCGAGCCTCGGGGTTTTCGAGTTCCAAAACGTGCAATGATGACATAGGATTCATAAACACCTGGTTTTTGGCCCAGGGCTGGAACTCCCAAAGTGCAAACCCTCAGAATAACTGGGGTTGGAGATGAACAAAAGGTAGCCGCCGTTAGCACTTCATCGGCCGCATGCATTTTCTTGCAGTGGTGTTGAGGCTGGCGTGCCCGAAAAGAATCGGGGAGATCATAGCGGGCGACGGGAAACATACAGGCAATATAACTGTGGTTGTAGTGCTATAATCTTTGTAACTATCTTTGAAGCCTTGAAAATCCCGAGCTGTTTCCTAATTGTTTGATCGTAGCTAGGGTGTCCAGGTGAGAAAACCATGTTAAAGTATATATGGACATATATAGAGAGAGAGAAATACATGTACACACACATGTATATATGTCCAATTAATTCTTGAAAGTTGCTTGCATGTCACACAGCCAAACGACAAAGTCTAAGTGACTCCTTTATCTCTGTGGTCATGCCTTAGCGAAGCCGATTGTGTAGAAATGTACCACGCAACAACCCGAACATGGAACGTAAAATGATCAAGAGGCTTGGTGGCCAACCCTGCAGGTTGCGGGAACAACCTGAAAACCCTTGGAGCGCTTGTTGCCAAAGGTTGTGTTCTCCAGGGCGGGTGTGGATAGCCACTCTCAAAAAGCCATGCCTAAGCCATGCCACGATCGGGAAAATGATTCATGTAAGGTAGTCAGAAATCATGCCACCGCTCCACAATGCGGAAGCTTTTCCAAACCAGGTCATGTGACTGATGCATGCCTCAGCTGCTGTCTCGGTGGCAGGACAAGACGAGATCTAAAACAAGATTTGACCGAGACCCTCAGCAGCCCGGATTGACACGAGACCCCCAGCAGCCCACGTCCACAGCTCCCCGTGTTCACCAAAGCCAGCGTTCCTATGCGTTTGGGGAAAAGGCACAACTTCTTCGACGTCTTCTCGCAATGCCTCAAACTGAGGCACGACTTTGTTGAATCCCTGTACCTGCTGGTGTCAGCGCAATAAGCTTGATAAGTTCATGAATTATGTTCATGAAGTGATGAATCTGAAGCAGAGCTGATACCGATACACAAGTAATGTGGTTGTGTCAAGGCTGGCAATTCCTAGGAAAATAGGTGTGTTCAACTTTAAGACTGCCTTAGTCGTTCATCACCTACTAAATATTCGCTTATGATAAATCGCTTTTTGAAAGTAGGATTGCTGACACACACCTCATCGACTTTCTCGGGGCCTCATGGGGAATCATTGTGAAGCGTTCAATTCTGAAAATCGCATTCCCAATTTAAAAGTTGTATTGCCCGATGCCAAAAGTCTCAAAGACTAAGGTAGTGTTCCCAAACTTTCCGAGGGCCACTTGGTTTGCCAAAACCTGACCTTCTAAGCTGGACCTTCTGGACCTGGTTGATGGTTACTTTCCTCTTCCTCTTCCTTTTGTTTTGGGGGGGGTGGGGTGGTGGCACAAAGGGGGGATATGGCCTACAAGTGAACTGAGGTACAAGCCAACCTCACAATTGCACCGCTCAGGACCTTGCTCAACCAATCTCAAATTCAAGACAAAGGCCAAGTACTGTTCTGTCCGTTAAAATCTTGACATTCAAGACTGTGCCAGGTGCGAGCAAGCGGCGGCAACCCACATATCTTCACATGTGGCATTTGATAATGGCAAGCCCTTTTGGCTTGCCACAGCTAAGTTTGAGGCAAAGTTTCCAAGCAAGTAACGTTTGGCTTCCCGGTGTGGGCTATGCTGTGCTTGGTACCTGCTGCACCTTGTTCGGCGACTGATAACGCGGCTTGAGCCACACAGCTCGGTGCGGACGACACGTTGACATATGTTGACTGCCTACCAAAACCCATTGAGCAATATCTGGGAAAGCAAGCCACGCAATTCGGCCAGCAAGCCAGCCCCTACCTTCGAACCCGTTCAAATTCAGAGGGCGCCTTCGCCCCCGAGTCAGTGACAGTCAAACGAGCCTCGAGCGCGCCGATGGCAATCTGTAAATGACATCCTGCCACAGTCAGGCTGGGGCCTATTGGCTGCGAAAGCAACGGCTTGCACAAACAGCACGCGCGTGGTTCAGCCTGGTCGCAATTGCAAGCCAAGACGCTGCAAACTGTTGCAGCTGCTGAAAATTCGTGCAACGTG